AAAAAAAATAGCTGTGTTTTGTTGTTCATGTTCATTGAGACATGGAGCAAAGTGGCATTATTTTAATAAATTACAAAGAATGACAGTCTAAAAGTTTCCTCCACATTCAATTTAATATCTTTTTTAATTTTTTGTTTAATTAACATAAAAATTCACAGTTGTGGGGAAAATTAAGAATAAGGTATAACTGCCACGGACTTGTCTAAATAGAGTTTTAAATCAGGTCGTTTTATTAAGAATCCTTTTTTTTTTTTGGTTGCAGCTCTGAACCAATTTGTATAGATTTACACAGGAAATTAACTCCCCCAAGTTTTAATATCATTTGGTCCTTCAATCTGATAAGGAAGAAAGACAGTGTATTAACTGCTGGCTTTGTGAGAAACCGTAATCTTCATCAACATTTGGAATGCATGCTAGGATGTAACATATTCATTTTTCATTCCGCAAATTCTCCAGACCACTCAGATTCTGAAATAGGTCCTGTTCCCCTCCAAACACAAGGAGACAAACAGATGTCACCAAGGGGATGATCACAGTCAGGGAGGGAATGCCACACGAAAGAAAAGCCTCTGGAAGGCGATTCCAGTGCTATTATTCCCAAACCATACAGGCAACTGGGATGGACCCAGACAGATAATGCGCGCAGGAGGCGGAAAATAGGTCAGTGTAAATAATCCCACGCCGGGAGGATGAAAGTTTTATGGTGGCCGATCACAATCTCCTCTCAGCATGTATGAAACAGGAGACTGCAGGAGGGGCTGCTGCCGGAACCCAATCCTGCCATGGAAACATTTGCTTCGATACCAGGCAGTTCATGTGGCTCATCACTTAAACATGAACTTGTCCCAACTGGGGCTCCGGGGACGTTTTTCATGACGCCACCTATAATAGAAGAGGCTATAATATTATTTATGCACATGGACTTGACCAGTAACAGGTGCAAAGCTTTCATGTGACCCTATAAACCGAATTCCCTGGACAAAGAAAATCCTGGGATTTCATTTCCTTCACATTGAGAGAATGAGGAAGTTAAATAGGAATGTGGAAGATAATATAGCTCTGTTTAGTGTAAATTAATGATGACATTATATGATTATTCAAAGGAAAATGTCTATGTCCCCTTGAGTTATTTTCATCTTTATGTTCTCAATCATTTATACAGTTCTGAAAATGAACAGGATTGGAATTTTTTTCCCTAAAGGATCTTGACATTTGTTTGATTCCACATGATTACTTATGTGCTCAATGTGAAATTGAATACATGCTTTATGGTGCAGTTATAATATTAATATTATGCCTTGAAACAATAACTTTCAAAGTTCCCCAGGACAGGTATAGGGAGTGTCATTCTTCGTTGTAGTGATCAAATACCTTGCATTTGTACAATGCTTTGCATTCCATCCTTTATATAAAACTAAGTTTAAAAAACGACATAACATTTAATATACACAAAACCATGTAAGGTAGATATTATTCCTATTTTACAAATAAAGAAGCTGAGACTCACAGAGGAGTCACAGGCCAAGTCTCGTGACCACACACCCAACAGTACTTTCCGTGGTTGGTTAAGTCTCTGTGTTTATTTTTTTCAGGCTTGTTAACTGAAATTCAGTGTAAATCCAAACGACTGAGAAAAAACGTGAAGCAGCATGCAGATCAGACCTTTAATGAAGACAGTGAAGGGCGTGACCTGCGACAAGTGACCTCGACCACTAAGTCATGCAGGGTAAGAACACGCCGCGGTGTCTGCCAAAGCCAGTGCCGCTGAGCTGCTAGGCATGTCGTGGTCTGGCTGGGAGGCGTTCATGTTAGAACCACAGCCATGAGCAGAATTTCACTTCAGCTGGCCATTGAGTGGGTTTCTTTTGTTTACTTTGTTTTTCTTTAAAAAAATCTTTATTGTTGAAAGTATTTCATAGGTCCCTCCCTTAACCTCTCCTAGCCCAATCCCTCTCCCCACACTCCAAGACCCGCACGCGCCCCACCCCCCTCCCGCATTGTCTGTGTCCACGGGTGAATGAGTTTCTTTTTACTCAAGTGAATAATACATACTTTTGTGTAAAAGTCAGATAGTAGGAGTGTATACAGTAAAAAAAGGGAAAATTTTCCCTGGTTCCATTTCATTCCTACCACCCAGATGTTGCCAGTAGAAATGGTTTGGTGTATAAAAGGGATTTTTTCAAACTGAGTTTTGATGTCCATTTTTTCCTCGGCCAGTGAGAAGGGAGGTTCAGACCGGGAAGGGTGTGGACTCGATAGAGGCTGTGAGTCAGTCTTTTTTTTTTTAATCCTCACCTGAGGATTTTTCCATTGATTTTTTTTTTTTTTTTTTTTTTTTTGGAAGGGGGGAGAAGGAGAGAGAGGAGAGAGAGAAACTGATGTGAGAGACACACATCAATTGGTTACTTCCCACATATGCCCCGACCATGGTCAGGGATTGAACCCACAATTCAGGTGATTGGTTGCCTCCCACTCTTACCCCCACTGGGGCTGAGGATTGAACCTGCAACCAAGGTCTGTGCCCTTGGTCGGGAACGAAACCCAAGACCCTTTTCATTTATGGGCCAATGCTCTAATCACTGAGCAAACCGGCCAGGGCATGAGCCAGTCTTTACCGATGGGTAAAACAGGGTGAATGCACATCTCTGCACCAATAGAGAAAAGCTCTTCTCCTGAGGTCACAGATCACTCAATAAATCCTTCGAGCAACTTGGGACGAATAGAGGAACGGCATCTTGTATGATTAGCTAAACATGCTGATAATGCACAGGGCACTTAAAGGAATTTTAAGTTGCCATTAGCTGAAAAACCAAAAATCCATTTTTTTTCAAATCATTTATTGATTTTTCAAATCTTTTTTCAAATATTTATTACACTACTGACAAAAAAATCATCCACATTTAGTTTTTCAGATATATTATTTTATATTTATCACAGGAAAAGTATTTGATACGGAAGTATTATTTTACCATAGTGCTTCATCTTTGGCATAAGGAAACAAAGAATTAACACAATTATTCACCCTCTTCCAAAGATGCTAGTAAGGGAGAACGAGATGTCTAGGGGCTGAATTGTCCAGGTGGAGGACTCTCTACTTTAGGGGTCAGCAGTTTTTTTCTGTAAAGTGCCAAATATTTTAGGCTTTGGCCACATGGTCTCCATCTCAACTACCCAACATTGAGTAGCATTGGTGATACATGAATAAATGAGTATGATTATCTTCCAGTGGATTTACAAAACCAGGTGGATTCGGTCCATGAGCCCCAGTGTGTCAGCCCCTGCTCTAAATAAATACCCTCAAATGGGGTCTCTGTGTTAAATGGGGGAACCTTTCCTTAGTTATGGCCAAACCTTGAACTTTCACTGAACTTCTCTATGAATGGGCTCAATAGGTTTCATATCCAGATTATTATTTATTCCTAAGAAATACATGAAAGAAATAGTTTGTTTTTCCCTACTTTACAGAGGAAAATGAGTACCTGGAGACAAATTTAATGAAATAGGATACGGCTTGCCCAAGGGCTCAGAAAAAGTGATGACACAATCAGAGCATACAGTTCCTGCTATATTTATGGCTTTCCCCAGCAATTTCTGATATTTAGTTTACTCCAGATGAGTGTGTGTGTGTGTGTGTGTGTATGGAGAGAAAGAGAGAGAGAATGCCTCATAGCCACCCTCCCTAACATCTTTTATTTTTTTGCCAGTGTAGGAGAAAACTGAACTCACCCTGGATCAACAGAATCTTCTACATTATATTATGGATTCATATAGCAAACAGAGGATGCCTCAGGAAATCACAAATAAAATTGTACGTACACTATCTGAAAATGCATGGGCTTAAACTTAATGTTTTCGGGGGCGTTTGCTATGTTTGAGGTGGAATTAATATATAAACATGTTACTTTGAAATGATTAGAGCCAAGAATTTGTTAGACATTTAAGCTTTTAGCAGCATTAAATAACTAATGAGAAAGAAGCCTCATATCCACCTTGGTAATAATAATTGCTCTCCAGGATCTGAAAAGTATTAACTGGGTTTTTAAATGTTATTGTCCAGGTTCTTTAGCCTAATGGTTTTATATTGTTTTATCCTTTTATCTACTTATTAATCATTTGCTTTTTTCTTAAAATTCAGTTAAAAGAAGAATTCAGTGCAGAAGAAAATTTTCTCATTTTAACTGAAATGGCTACCAGTCATGTACAGATTCTTGTAGAATTCACAAAAAAGCTACCAGGTATCTACATGTAGTTACTTCTCTGCTACACTGTGTGATATTCTTGTGATATTAAGAGAGGCAAGTCTGTTTGCTGCAAAAGGAGAATTATCTCACATCTAATTTAATATGTCTGCTACAGACGTAAAATGTTTGCCCTAACTGGTTTGGCTCAGTGGATAGAGTGTCGGCCTGCAGACTGAAAGGTCCCAGGTTCGATTCTGGTCAAGGGCATGTACCTTGGTTGCGGGCACATCCCCAGCAGAAGGTGTGCAGGAGGCAACTGATCGATGTTTCTCTCTCATCGATGCTTCTAACTCTCTATCCCTCTCCCTTCCTCTCTGTAAAAATATCAATAAAATATATTAAAAAAAATGTTAGCGCCAGATAGGATATTTAAAATCATTGATGTTAATTCTTCCAAATTGATAAATTAAGAAATTGTGGCTTTGCTAAGTTGTGATTCATCCATTTATTCATTTAATAATATTTGTTGATACCTACTCTATACTAAGTACCTAGCTATTACCTACTAGGAGAGTGATTAAAGGGTATAATTTAAAAAATGTATGCAAAGTGCTGTTTGAACAAAAAGGAAGTAATTGCTGATTATATTTGAAAAAGACAAGAAGGCTTCTGAGAGAGTCATATTTGCGTTGAATCTAAAACAAAAAGGAGCTTTCAGGTGACATTAAGGACAAGGGTCATTTGAAATCAAGAAATCTGCTTGTGAAAATATAATGAGGCATGAGTAAGAATCAAATTATTAGAGAAGGAAGAGAAAATTCACTGTGGCTGTAGCATAATGTCTGTGGCTCCTTGCTTAGACATAAAGATAAGCTGGTACCACACCAGTTAGGGCTTAACTAAGGGTTTTAATTCTCATCCTCTGGATGATAAAGACTTTTTGGTGGCTTTATTTAAAAGAGGGAAATGATGAGATTTATGTTATAGAGATATAGCTTTATTAGTTTGTATTAGATAGATTTGAACAGGGAGGGACTGGAGGTAAGGAAGATCAGTTACTATGCTACTGCATTAGTCCAAGCAATAGGGCTTGAAATAAATAAATAGGGCAGTGGGAGAGATGATAGGAAACAAAATAAAGAGAGATTTAAAAATTGGTAGCACTTAATGAACAAGTGTCCATCATGTGTGGGATGAGGGAGAGGGATTTATCCAGTCATTCTGATGGTGACAGTACAGGAAAGTGGAATGCAAGCTTCTTATCTCCCGGAGTCCAATTCTTTTAGATATAATTTCAACTCTCTCTAAGTCCAATGCAATAGGTTTAAGTTGTTGCATTGTTTTAAAAAATATATTAGCACATTAAAATCTCACAGTCTAGAAGAATATAATAAATACCTTGTATAGCTGCACAACACTGTAATATTAAATTACAGAAGGTAACTTCTGACATAAGATTTTAATTAAACATGTTAATTTGCCTTCTTTTGCCAGCATTATGCTATTATTTTATTAAATGTGTCAGAGATAAACATAAGCCTACATAAAACTCATAAATTGTGGGAAGAAGTTCTCATTATCATGGAAACATTAATATTCTCTCATTTCTTTATTAACAATGAACAACAGAACTTAATTTGTTTTATGATAATTAAGCTGAAGGCAATCTTGATCAAAAACATGATTATTCAAGAGTTAGAAACTGGGAAGAGATACTGGAAAGGGAGAAATACGATGTTTTTTGTTGTTTATGGGAAAAGATTTTTCAGTTCAAATGGTCAGTTGATCTTTAACCAAGAAATATTGAGGACAAATAAAAATCTTAACTTATAATAAGGTAGCTAATCTGAAAGCAATGGCAATATCTTATACACCTCTTCAATCCTGTGCCTGGACTGGGTCATTACGGAGAGAGTATAATTAATGTGTGTTTAATGAGCAAAGTAGAAGAAAAAAAACACAGAAGGAAAGAAAAGACAACTCTCCAGAAAGAAAAAAATGTTTTAACAATATGTATAGAAATGACATGATTACAAATAGTAATAATCGTTATGCAGTACTAATAATGAAAGAGTTTTGTGAAGGACCGAGTTGAGGGATTCCGTTCCACAGTTCACTGAGGCCTGTTCAGCGTGCTAGAGACCTGGCACGTCTCCTTCGCGCAAAGGAGCGCGTAGATCCTCTGAAAGCGACACTACTTCTTTATCCTTAGCGTTACTCTCTTCTCCAAACTCCCATTGCTATTTAATACTTTCCTAGGCCACTTAGACCCTGAAGGCACTATCCTTATTTTATCTCTATTCGTGGTATGTGTGTGTGTGTACACATGTGCACATGAGCTTTGTTTGTTTCCATTCATTACTTTAGTCAGTCATTTTCCCCACCCTGCATGGTGGAGGGCTGAGCTTAGAGAAGATAGTGCAACATGACCTTGTTTGTTTGTTTGTTTGTTTGTTTTATTGGAAATGCTATCCATTCTCCAGGTTGACTAAAGATCCATGAGCTGGCTAAGTATTTCTTTAAACCTCTGGATACACGTAAAGATTTTTCTGGCTTGTGGAAACTTCCATTCTGCGGAGTTGACCTCTGACACCAGATGTAACTAAAATAATGGCTCAAAGAGAATCTGCTTGCCTTTAACTTTTGAGGGTGGCTTCATCTGCATCAGCCTGTCTCTGCCATAACACATATATGTTTGATGTGGATCCTCTTTTACCCAACTTTTTTTTATCAAATCCTATTCAATGAAGATAAAAGTCAGCTTCTATTTGGGAGAGAACAATAGATACTTATTGACTTCACTATCCACTCTTAAAACAACTACAAAATAATTTCATGAAAATGTTTTATCAGTGGGGGGGATGGTGATGATGAATACTGTTTTATAGCATTTCACAACTCCTTGATATTGATTTCATTATCACCTTCATGCAGGATTTCAGACATTGGACCATGAAGATCAGATTGCTTTGCTGAAAGGGTCTGCAGTTGAAGCTATGTTCCTCCGTTCAGCTGAGATTTTCAATAAGAAACTTCCAGCTGGGCATGCTGACCTATTGGAAGAGAGAATCCGAAAGAGTGGTATGTGACTGGCTTAATGATAAAACGAGTTTGTTTCTGCAGCTAAGAATTTGTATATCCCATGAAGGCAGGGCTCTTGCTTGTCTTACCCAATGTCAAATGCCCATTATGAGTAACATGGAGAATGACCCTTAAAGATAGGTGTTAAATAGATGGGACCTTGAGAGTCTTGGTTTAAAGAATCCTTGTTGCAATAGCAAAATATGAACTCTTTTCACTTCACTGAGATGAAGGGCTACATGGGGTATTTTTTAAAATTTGGGTAATTAGTCTGATAAAAAAATATAGTGTAAAGGAACTGTGGTTATTCAGTCCAGAAAAAGATTCATTTATTCAAAGCCTCCAGGTCCGAATGCCTATCAAACTACTAACCATCTTTATTCAAAGAAAAATAAGAAGAAATAAAAATAGCAACACATATATCACTTACTAGGTTTCAGTCACTGTTCTAAATACTTTACATGTATGAGTCCATCAAATCCTTGAAAATATCCTATGAAATAAGTATGTTATTATTCCCATTTTATAGATGAGAGAGCCATGTGTCTTAAACACTGTGCTGTACTGTCTCTTAAAAGGCAAATGAAATAATAGTTTGAGGAACTCGGTTTAACTTATTATGGAGCAATATTGTAACATGGAGGGTCAGCAACATCAAAAATGTCTTAACAAAATAAAACAGAAACAGACTCATAGATACAGAAAACAGATGATGGTTGCCAAAGGGAAGGGAAATGGTGATGTAATAATAATAATAATAAATAACAATGATATCAGAATGGATTACTAGAAATTCTATGCAATTTATCTCAGAAGATAGTTGAAATAGAATCAGTTCTTATTTTCCTGAGAGATTTTACACATGGGTTGGGGGTCTGAATGAGATGAGATGAATTTTGAAGATCTTTTTTCCCTTCAAGTATTATTATTCTATAATTGACTGGAACAAGTTAAATATTCACAAAGCCAGTATTTTAGAATATAAATTGGAAAGAAGGGTTCTGCACCTGTGATGTAAGTAAAATAATTGAAAATTAAAAATATTTTTTTGAAAGGAGCCTTACCATAGTCATTATGGGTTTTTTTTCTTAGTTTAAAATTGAAAGCATAATTAGCATCATTGGTAGATTTTAAAAAACACTTTTAAAAGATGCATTATTCCTATATACCCATTGATATTTTAGTTTAATAACTCATAGGAGCAAGATACTGGCTCTGCCAAAGCAACCGCAGGGGGGACTCAAAATTCAATAAATCTAGGAGCTTTTTTCATAGCAACATAAATTTATATTAACTGAATTACATTAAGTGAATGATGTTGTAAATATCCAAATGGCCCTTGGCAGAAAAAAGTTTCCCCATCCCTGGAAGATATGAGCTAGAGAGATATGTTAAGAGAGAGTTAAAGTGTGGAAGAGACTAACAGAGAGAGATGACCTCTAGTTGGAAGGGGTCGGGAAAGGTTGCATTGGCATTTTTGCTGGACCTTGAATGATATTTGATGTGATACTGGGTGGAGGTGCAGGAGATAAGGACCGGCAGGAGCAAAGGATTGAGGCAAGAAAGCTCGGGTTTTGCACGCTCAGGTTCTGCATGCAAAGAAGAGTGAATAATTGAGTTTGATCAGATTAAGAGTTATAGTAAAAAGAGATAAAAAGAAAACATAGAACAAAATGGTTGAGGACCTTAAATGTTGGAGTAAAGATTTTATTCTTTATTTCCTATGTAATGGCCAGACAGAGATTTTTGAGTGGGAAGGGAAAACACCAAACATCAAATTATGCTTTACAAATCTTCCAGAAATATTAGGATAAGGCCAGGAAGAGAGTCACCTGGTAGGAGGCAGAAAGTATCAAGGGTGTGACCCCTGCTGCTGGGAGAAATGGAGAGGAAGATAAAGATCTGGGAAATATATTATTGCAGCCTTTCACCCTTTGAAAGACATTGCGTTGTCAAGAAATGTGGATTCTGACCCTGGACAGTGTGTGTGTGTGTGTGTGTGTGTGTGTGTGTGTGTGTGTGTGCGCGCACGCGCGAGACTGTGGGTAAGGGAGAAAGATTGAATCAGTAACCTCCAAGGCACCATGCAGTCCTAAAAGTCTTACTGTTTTTTCTAATTCTTCTCGATTGGATCTTCTGTGCCATAAATTTTTCTGATTGATGCTTAACCAGTCATTTGGCTGGCTACTTAAATATCCTGATTTTTTATTTTATTTTATTTTATGGTGGTAAGCATATTTAACATGAAATATACCCTTAAAAAATATATATCTTATTGATTTTTTACAGAAAGGAAGAAAGAGGGATAGAGAGTTAGAAACATTGATGAGAGACAAACATCAATCAGCTGCCTTCTGCACACCCCTCACTGGGGGTGTGCCCGCAACCAAGGTACATGCCCTTGACTGGAATTGAACCTGGACCTTTCAGTCTGCAGGCCGATGCTCTATCCACTTAGCCAAACCAACCAGGGCTGAAATATACCCTTTTAACAACTATTTAAGTGGTATTGTTGACTGTAGGTGCAATGTTGAACGGCAGATCTCTGGGACTTACTCATCTTCCTTAACGGAAACTTTATGCCCATTGATTAGAAGGAGGAAATAAGTAATTATTAATTAACTAGAGGCCCGGTGCACAAAAATTTGTGCACTCGGGGGAGAGGGGGGTCCCTCAGCCCAGCCTGTGCCCTCTCGCAGTCTGGGACCCCTCGGGAGATAACGACCTGCTGGCTTAGGCCTGCTCCCGGGTGGCAGAGGGCAGGCCTAATCCCTAGGTGCAGCCCCTGGTCGGGCTCAGAGCAGGGCTGTTTGTGGGACGCCTTCCCCTGTCATGAACAGAGCAGGGTGGATAGGGAGGTTGTGGCCCCGCCCCCTGTCACACACAGAGCCGCAGGGCGATGAGGGGGTTTGGGCGCTGCCCCGTCACACTAATCCCGGTGCCGGGAGGCCTCTCAGCTCCGCTGATTCCGGTGCTGGGAGGCATATTACCCTTTTACTATATAGGGTAGAGGCCTGGTGCACGGGTGGGTGCCGGCTGGTTTGCCCTGAAGGGTGTCCTGGATCAGGGTGGGGGTCTCCACTGGGGTGCCTGGCCAGCCTGGGTGAGGGGATGATGGCTGTTTGCAGCTGGTCACACAACCTTCAGGGTTGGGGTCCCCACTGGGGTGCCTGGCCAGTCTGGTTGAGGGGCTGAGGGCTGTTTGCAGATGGTCACACACTCTTCAGGGTGGGGGTCCCCACTGGGGTGCCTGGCCAGTCTGCGTGACGGGCTGAGGGCTGTTTTCAGGCTTGCAGGTGACTGAAGCTCCCAACTGCTCCTTCTTTTCTTTTTTTTTATTCTGGGCCAGCTTTAGCTCTGAGGCTTGGCTCCAGCTCTGAGGCTTCTGCTGCTGAAAGAAGGTATCTGGTTTGTTTTGGTTCTATAATCGAAACAATGTATAACTCCTGCTCTGAGATCCCGGCTTGCTGCAAGCAGGTTTCTGGGCTTTTGTTTAGCTTCTATATTTGTTACAATGTTTCTTAAACTGCAGGCTCAGAGGCTGGCAAGGCAGGCGGGGGATGTTGGTTTCCTCCCTCACTGAAGCAAGCAAGCCTCATGTTAGTTTCAAGCTGCCTGGCTGCCGGCTGCCATCTTGGCTGACAGTTAATTTGCATATCTCCCTGATTAGCCAATGGGAAGGGTAGCAGTCGTACACCAATTACCATGTTTCTCTTTTATTAGATAGGATGGGCAAATATCTTTATTTTAAAGTTGCAATGAGTAATTGACAGTTATCTTGGGAAGGATGAACTGCAGGCTGCTGAATTTTCATAGTTCAGGCTATTGAATGTAAATCGGTGGTTCTCTCTCTGTGGAAAGTTGTTGTGGCTGCAGCCTGTGATGGAAGATGCCTCTCCAGCTTACCTGGCCAGTTGTTTGGTCCTGGTGTCCACTCACTGTGACAGTGGTCTGTTTAGGAAAACACATGAGTCAAATCTAGCTTTTTAAAAACTAATAAAGTAAAAACAGATGATGACTCGTATGATAAAGTACTTTTAATTTTACACACATGTCTCCAATTATCAAAGAATCTTACTCCAGTTGATGTGTTCTTAGTTTATACATCAAGAGACAGTGGTGCCCCTAACCGGTTTGGCTCAGTGGATAGAGCGTTGGCCTGCAGACTGAAGGGTCCTAGGTTTGATTCTAGTCAAGGGCATGTACCTTGGTTGTGGGCACATCCCCAGTAGGGGTGTGCAGGAGGCAGCTGATCGATGTTTCTCTCTCATCAATGTTTCTAATTCTCTATCCCTCTCCCTTCCTCTCTGTAAAAATCAATAAAATATGTTTAAAAAAAAAGAGAGAGAGACAGTGATGATGAAGAATCTGGCTTGAATCTAGGCTCCACTACTTATTAGCCATATGTCCCTTTTTTGTTACAAATTATTGAAATAGACCCCATAACTAGTTTGATCACTTTTAAGTCATGGCTAACTTTAATAATTTGTTCTACAAACCACCTTGTTTTGATATTAAAAACTCTGTAGAGCGGGACTCTCTTTTTGACTTCATATTTTAACCAGGTACCTAGTGCATGCCTGGCTTGGAGTGGGTGCTCAACAAACATCTGTGAAATAAGTAAGTGGATGGATGGATGGAAAGATGGTTTATTATCTGAAGCTGTGAGTCTAGTCCATTTATTTTCTTTTCAGATGGTTCTTCCCCTGAATATAGAACCATTTCACTCACCCCAACAGGTCCAGTCCTGCCCCAGACTCAGGAACCCAAATTGCATCTAATTCGAGGCACTTGGTTCAGCCTTGTGACAATCCCTGCCTTTCTGTGAGTCTTCTAGCAAGTCCGAAAGGCTTGCAAAGTTGATAGCTGAATCTTGGAGGATGATTAGAAACTTCTCAAGCCACAAATGTCTGAGAAAGGCATTCTAAGATATATAACATTATAAGGTAACTAGAGGCCCCATGCATGAAATTCATGCACTCAGCGGGCGGTGGTAGGGA